TCAACAATTGTTCCAGGATATCCTCTATGGCCTTGATTTTATCGGGGTTTACCTCAATTCCCCTTTGTGAGAATAGAAATCCCAGAAACTTACCAGAACTGACCCCGAACGCGCACTTCTCGGGATTAAGTTTCATGTTATGCTTCCTCAGGATGTCGAATGTTTCTTGCAAATACTTAAGGTGGCCACCTGCATTCAAAGACTTAACGAGCATATCGTCTATATAAACTTCCATAGTCTTTACTATTTGCTTTTCAAACACCTTATTAACAAGCCGTTGATAAGTGGCTCCGGTATTTTTCAACCCGAAGGGCATCACATTGTAACAATATGTACCAAAATTTGTTATAAACGTAGTGTTTTCCTGATCTTCCGGGTTCATCTTGATTTGGTTGTACCGAAATAAGCATTGAGGAAACTCATTAACTCGTGCCCGGCCGTGGCATCAATCATTTGATCGATATTTGACAATGGGAACAAGTCTTTCGGGCACGCCTTATTAAGGTTTTTATATCTACACACATGCGAAACTTATTGTTCTTCTTCAGAACTACTACTACATTGGCTAGCCAGTCCAGATATCATACCTCTTGGATTGAACCGATATTAAGTAAGCGGGTTACCTCTTCTCTGACGAATTTATTCCTGGCCTAGGCAATTCTTTTGTCTTACCGTAGGTACGTTAGGATCCAAACTCAGCTTGTGCACGGCTACTCCCGTCAGGATACCTGTCATATCCTCGTGCGACCATGCAAAACAATCGGCATTAAATTTAAGGAATTCAATAAAACCAGACCTGAGCTCCGGGTGCAGTCCTATCCCCAAATAGAATTTTCTTTCTAGTAATTCTTCGAACAATGCAACTTGCTCCAGTTCCTCCGTCGCGGACTTCGTTGCGTCCCTCTCTTCTGGAACTTGGAAATATCTCGACACCTGATAATGTTCTGACGACTCTGCTCTCGGGCTAACTTCTTCTAGCTCGGGAATAAGTGCTGGTTCCTGTAATTGCTATGTTGTGTGCTCCTTCCCTTTGCTATTGGAAACTGAAATTGCATTCATCTCTCTTGTTGCCGGCTGATCACCTCTTATCTGCTTGATTCCTTAGGGCGTTGGAAACTTCAATAATTGGTGATATGTTGAGGGTACAACTTCCATCTCGTGTAACCGTGGCCTTCCCAGGATGATATTGTATCACATGTCGCCATCTACTACATCGAAGAGAGTTGTTTTCATTTCTCTTTCAGCATTCGTGAGCAGCAAAATCTCTCCCCGGGTCATCACGCTCGCAAGGTTGAATCCAGTGAGAAGATTTGTTGTCGGAATAATACTTTCGGTGAGTTTAGCTTGCTCCAATACTCTCCATTGTATGATATTAGCCGAACTTCCTGGATCCACTAGAACACGCTTAATCTTAAAATCCAACATATTTAAAGAAATTACCAGTGCATCATTGTGTGGTAATAGTAATCCATTTGCGTCCTCCTCCGTGAAAGTGATATCGTCTTCCCAGAGCCCTTTACTATGAGTTATTGATACTTTCGTCTTCTTTGCTGCCGAAAAGGTGTTCCCGTTAATCTCATTGCCTCCGAAGATCATATTGATCGTTTGGCGTAGGGGTTCTTCTCCTGCTTTTGAAGGTTCAGCGTTGTCTCTGTTACGACCATAATTGTTCTTAGCTCAGTCACTCAAGAATTCTCTGAGGTGACCGTTCTTCAATAGTGTTGCCTCCTCTTCCCGGAGGTGTCGGCAGTCCCCTGTTCAGTGGTCATTCATCCCATGGTATAAATACCATAAGTTGGGATCCCTCTGTCTGGAATCGGATCTCACAGGTCTCGGGAATCGTGCTTATTTAATGTTTCTCATGGCTAACACCAACTCCACTATACAGACGTTGAAGTTATATTCCGATAACTTGGGGTAAGAAGGATCCCGGAACCCTGACGTCTCTTTATCCTGAAGTGATCTATTGTTTCGACCACGATCGGTCCCTCTGTCAACGGTGAACTTGTTTTATGCCCGGAAGTTTCTGCCACGGCCTTCGGTCCACTCGTAAGGCAAAAACGGCCCCTCGAAGTCCGTTTGTCCGCGTCGTAGTTATCCTTCAATTTTTCTCTACTCTTCTCCCGTCCCTTGGCTGATGATGTAGAACCGACTTGGTCATCTTCGATCCTTATCTTTGACTCGTATTGATTGTGGATATCTACCCAAGTTGTTTTTTGAAACTCAAGCAGGCTCTCCTTCAGCTTCCGAAAAGAGTCTGAGCTTCTCGGATTCAATCCCTTGGTGAATGCTTTAGCTGCCCATTCATCCGGGACAGCCGGGAGAAACATTCTTTCTTTCTGGAATCGGGTAATGAACTCTCGTAATAATTCGTATTCTCTCTGTGCGATCCTGAATATGTCAGCCTTCCGGGCTTGTACTTTTCTGGCCCCGGCATGAGCCTTGATGAAAGAATCTGCGAGCATCTCAAAGGAATCTATAAAATGCTCGGGTAATAATGAATACCATGTTAGAGCTCCCCTCGTGAGAGTTTCTCCAAATTTCTTTAACAACACGGATTCAATTTCGTGAGGAGCTAAATCATTTTCTTTTACCGCCGTTGTGTAGGTGGTAATATTCTCCTGTGGGTCTGAAGTCCCGTCATACTTTGGCATTTCAGGCATTTTGAACCGCTTCGGGATTAGTTCCGGTGCCACACTCAGCTTGTACGACAATTGAGTATACTTTTTCGAGTCGGGGCCTTTCAATACTGGTGGCGCACCCGAGATCTGGTCCATGCAGTCGTTTACTTCCCTCATAAACCTTAAAAGTTCATTCTTGAATGGGTCGTTCTCGTTGTTGAGACGGGTCCGTTTCCCCAGCCCCGTCGGAGCCAACTTCACCCCTGGGAGTGTTGTTGTCGACTCTCTACGTTGTTTGGTTTGCAGGAACACTGGGAGGAATTGGATCTCGTCTGTTTGCATTATTTGAAGCCCCCGATAGCGCCTGATTCAGCTCCGTCATAACCTTATCATGCCACGTGAGATGGTCTAGAATGATTGCCGGTTGCTCTTGCATGACTCTCACCGCATCCACGACATGCTCCTCATCAGCATCATTGGGAGTTGTCTCCCGAACCTGTCGAGGGTTCTGCCTGTCATGCACCGGCATGGCGTCATTTCCCTCATTGCAGGTGTCACTGATTGAATCCTCGAAATGAGGCTGATCCCTCGAATTTCAGGGTTGTACGTGTTGTTAGCAGTGTTATCTGCCATTTTTTGTAATTTTTTCTAAGACAAAATAATCAAATCACGTTAGTAAAAAAAAAAAAGCAAGGACCAATTTAATTGCACGGCTGTCTACGCCCCACGGTGGGCGCCAAACTGTTTACCCGTAAAATGGTACAGTTGAATTTATACGTGGTTTCTAGACAACTGAACTAATTTAATCCTGACATAATGCAATAATTAAAGAAATATATAATACTTAGCCTTAAAATGTAGAAGAAACAGCAGGGTTGATAGTTCCGGGAACAAGGCTTCCGGGCACAACAATGATGAGATCAAAAAGCGAAAAATTAAGATTGTATTAAGCTTTGTATAGAATATGGTGTAAGTTTTGCCAGAAAATTTCATCTCCCCCACAATGATAACTGGGCTCACTATTTATAGTTGCGTCTAGGGAAGTAGGTCCTGGGATCGTGCCTCCTTTAATGTCAATTATGAGGGTCATTGATGAAGATGTAACAGTGAATATAAATGTCAAATTCTCTGTAACGGGTCGTTGCTCTTAATACTGCAGAATATTCCTTATTAAATGCTACCGGGCGCAGAGCATTTAATACACCTTTATGAACGATATCCCTTCCGGTGACAAGCGAAATAGCTACGTTCGGTCTTCAGCCATGCCCGTCTAGGATTCCACGTGTCTTTCCTTTATATGACCACGTGTCATATCATATTTCACCCTATACAACAACATTAATAATATTTACATTAAGTTATGCGGAAGTCTAATATTATTTGATGTAAAATAGCATGTGAACTAAGGAAAATAGCAAAGTGGTGATTAAACTATTTAAAGAAAAAATTGCCGCCCTTGACTTCTTCATGTATTTCCTTTTTATATTTTGAATCCCATTAGTGAAAATTTTGGGTCACCACTAATAATATCATTTGCATAATTCTGTCGAAGTGGCAAAATATGGAACTTTTGAAGTTTAGGAATTGGATACATTGACGATGCTTATCAATCTTGAAAATACTACAGTTACAGCAAGTCAGCAACTACTATAGTGATTTCACATCTCTTTTTTTAAGAATGGTGATGTTTACAATTTAAATCCAATAACGCGTACCACAACTATTACCTATTATCTTCCACTAATAGAGGGATCGATGTTCACCAAAATTTTAACAGACAGTCATTGTACATCTCTTACCAACTAAGAAAAAAGATACTTATTACACATCCCTCGTTTGAGCGTTTTGAAGATTTTCTTTTTGAATTGGTGTAAAGTCAATATTAGTTCAATTCTTCCGTGGAAGCCACTTCCCCTGCCCATCTCTTGTCTGGACCCCTCAGTACCTGTATTTATTCTAAGAGGAAAAAATAAATAAAAAGATATGAAGCTCATCTTTAAGCCCCTTGCGTCCCAATTATATTTCGTTCTTTTCAGTATACTCCACTTTCGTCATTTTGGAATGTTACAAATTATTTGACATTTTTTTATCAATAATACTTCTCATGTATAAGCTGCAAATTTTTTAAACATTCAAATTTATTTATCTATTTAAACTTTTGATGTGATTATTTTTCTACAAAATTAAATCTATAACAATTATGTACTTTGTTGTTTTTATCTAAATACAGGTAATAAATACATCCAATTGATACCTTAAACTTCATTTTCACCCAAACATTGACATATAAAATGAAACGGAGAGAATACCTTTTTTTAAAAATAAAAAACAAAATAGAAGAAGTAGACCTAATCAAGTCCATAAATACAAATTTCGAGCTAGAAAACCAGAACAGGAGTTGAAAATAGAGAGAAGGGAAGGGAATATCAACAGATGAATTATATCAAAAATCCTTCATAGTGTTGCATTTGCTGCAACACCAATTACACCCAAAACTAGATTCAAAGTACTGAGTTCAAAATTCTATCTGATTTAACACTAAAAACAAGCATATTGTCTCTGCGCCTACATACTGCTCTTTCCCATACTGGACTAGCGCTCCAATGCAACCTCATCAAAGTTCCAGTCTCTCACTATATCCCTCCTCACAGCACGGCTCCTAACGAGCCGTGGGGGACCTGTCATGCCATTACTCTGATCAGTTGGCTGAGGGGTCACTTTAGATGTTGTGATGCCACCATTTGCATTAGGGTGGCTAAGCGATATCTTCTTGATCAAGCAATTGGCAATCGCAGAACATCTCCCATCGTTGTCGGAACTTGAAACAGAGTAACTTCTGAAGGAATGTGATGGGCTTTCAACACTATGGCATACCAAACATGCCAGACTCATATTTCACTTGGTGCACAATCTCTTTTGCTGTGCAACACATTCCAAATACATTCAAAGAAAATAAGGTTCTATTAGATGCCACTACAAAGGAACCTATTGAAAATGATTATGTAATAATGTGCTCGGGATGCAAATAATTGAAATGGAAGTTTAGAAACCATAGATCAATTTATGTGCATGTCATGATTGCCGGTAGAGATCCCAAAAGTTTTGGTGACCTGCAACAATTTCAACCTTTGCAAATGCAACAAACCATGTTCACATTTTCATCAATTATAGATTATGCCAGTTATCCTACCCCCAAAACAAAGAAAAAATACATATTTGGCTTCCCCACACATGCAGGCTCACAAAATATAAACATACTGAGAAAATTCATGAAAGAAAGTGTTCTCTTCTAATAAGAATCCACTAGTACGATATTTTTACAGTACCAAATTGACTTGACAAATCATATACGGTCCAGATCTCATACAGAAAACTGGAGAAATAAAACTAGACATAGGACTGTAGAGAAGTGTAAAAATTGTTGTGCATTCATGGCTGTATTATGCAATTAGATGTTGCAGGGTTATTTATGTTCCCATAGAGTTTAAAATTAACTGCTCAATCGTTTGGCCAGTAGACCACTACCCTTGTAAAGTTGTGAATGACCTTAATATTTTTTAACTTAGAGAACTCTGTTAGAACTACCAGCTCCCAGGCACTAGGGCAATAGTAAGAAGGTCAAATAATGCTCAATGATCACACACAGCATTTTCAAAGGTTGGAAAAGAGATTAAAACTAGAGTGATTGCTCCAGACCTGCACAGCAAGGGACTACTGGGACTCCTAGGGGTCTGTGGTTTGAGGGATAAGGAATATTAATTTCGGTAATAAATTATGTATTATTATTCAGCGCTTGCTTTCCGATATAAAAAGGTGTATTGCTAGTATAATCTCACGACGACTAACGCAATGTTTGCTTTCTGGTTATGCGGAGTTTAATAAAACAAAACCAAATTGTGGTATTACTAATATCAGTATAACTTACACGAGACTATGTATTATTATATACGAAACAGAATATGAAATAAGAATGTGTATTAGCAATACATGGAATTTGTTTTTGTATTAGCAATACATGGATAAGTAAAAACAAAAGTGCCCTTAAAGTTGGCTATCCCTTCAATATTATTCATGTATACATGTATTATTATTAATCGCATAACAATTCTTACATTATTATTCACCACATATGAACTTTTACACAATAAACTAGACTATGAATTAAATGACCCCTTAGGGTTCACAGGACAATTATTCTTGTGAATGTTCTGAATATAGATTCGAGTAAACTTCTAATTAAACTATACAAAAAGAACTTTCTCCATTAACCTGTTGGCAAACGTAGGTCATGCTCCTACATTGTAGGATGACAGGTGACAACAACCAGGCGCTTCTCCAATGCCATAAATTCTAAGTCGTGGGATCATAACTTATCAGATGAGCTGAAGGTGAGAGTTGATCTAAGTTGAATGCACCTAGAAACCTTTTAAGCCAAAGCCATCTACAGTGAAGAAAAATCCTGCGCCCAGGGAGGCTAAAGTGGGAACTAAGAAAGGGAGAAACATGTTATATTACTGCTAAATTAAAATCTTTGGTAAGCTCTTTTTAGCAAGATTATTGGTTTCCAATAATATTTCTTGATCGCCTATTCTTGCTCAAATAGGGCCCTCAGTTTCTCGCCAGCACCTCAAAGATGCATTTAGTTGTTTTACATGAGACTCAAGGTAGTTTCATTTAGTACCTAAAGGAAGGTCTGGAAATCAATGCAAAATCCATTAACAGATTTAACGGTAAAATAAAAGCTCTCTGTCTGTATTGCAAAAAGCCTGAAGATAAGAGGAGAAGACCAAAATTTGCAACTTCCTTTCATTTCTTTTGACACATCCTTTGAAGCCATTCCATTCCCAACAGGCCTCGACCCACCCACAACCTACAAAAAATTAAATCCGGAACAACCTACAAAAAACTACACCCATTCCTTCTTCTTTTGTCCACTTTTGCTAGGTTCACACTTATCACGTATGTACCTTCTCCTGCAGCAAACCTCAAACCTCACTACAGTTTACTCCGTACTTCTTAATTTATTTATTTTTTGATAGGTCCGTACTTCTTAATTTATATCAAGCTGGTTTTAAATATTTCACATCTATCAAACTTAACTTGTTGTAACTAATGTACTTCAAAAGTTTCTCTTGTAACTAAGATATCAAAAACGTTTTTGTATTAGAAACAAACACATACATGAAACAAGAATGGAAGTCATAGTTACCCAATAAGCCATCAGTTCTAATTCATAATTTCAGCAGCTTTCTCAATGTCTTTGAGACAAAAATTAGAAAAGACAACACCAGTGATGAGATTAAGGAATTTGTTCTATATATTTGTTTCAAGAATTCTCAGAGATAATAAAAATTCATAGCAAACTGCCTCCTTATTCCTTTCTACAGCTTCTTCTCACTAGGCAGCTGAATAAATGCATTAGGAAATATGAAAACAGCATATAGCTATCTCTGTACCCACCTGAAGTAACCAAATTAAACTTCCTATTTTCTGAATCAGCCCATACAGATGTAAGAAGTTGCATTAACCCTAATCAGATCTATAGAAACTTAGCCTCTTACTAACCTGAAATTAAGTCATAATATTTACCACTTAATGTACTTTTTTTCTTTCTATCATTCTTTAGTAGGGTTCTTCAATGATTAGTTGCCAACTCCAAGGCCAACCAGTCATTTTACTAGCAATTTTAGCTTGACCATCTTAATATAGAGCATGAAAACTTTTTTTTGGATGGAGTTTAAACAATAATTGTATGCTTCAATCAAGAATCGAACCAGGTGAATGAGCCTCAAGGCAGCGCTAAGGAGCTCCAGCTACCAGTGACCCCAGCTAACTTTCTAAAGCATGAAAACTTTCGTTTCCCATCATATTGTATGTAACTAATATCTAGAGACAGCAAAATGTGACACCAAATAATTTTTCTTTTCCTTTTTCCTGATGAAGTGTCAAGCAAATAATTTGTAGTCATCAAGTCAAGCGATACCTATAATATGACACAGGCACACTCATTTTTTCGATAAAGAAACTGGAATAGAAGGCCCACGAAATACAACCTAATGGAAAACTATCAGAATCTCAGATGGGCTCTAGACACGTAACAGTGATACATTTAAATTTAAACTTTCATATTACAAATTACTGTGTATTTCATAATTGTCTAAGTGCACCTTAGTCGCTATAAACATATGCAAACATAGTCAAGCCAAATAATTGTAGTCGTCAAGTTAAGAGATACCTATAATATGACACAGGCACACTCATACAACCATTGATAAATAAAACTGGAATAAAAGGCCCACCAATGCATCCTAACGAGGAAAGGAATAAAACTATAAACGTGTCTGAGACGTTCTAGATGCGTAACAGTGATACATTTACAACAATAACCTTAATTTAAAATGATATTGTCATGTAATGAACTACTTTGTGTATTTCAATATTGTCCATGGATAAGTGCAGCTTAGTATTATGGGTATATGAAAACATATTATTTCTTATTATTGCTTCATGCCCTAGTCAGTTCATGTAACGTCTTCCAAATTCGGTATTTACTGTCAAAGATTATTCTACTCCTTTTCCTTACCAGAAAAAGGTGCTACAATCAGGGACAGCCAGGGCTATCAATAATAAGGGAATGTGAAAAGTTATGCCTTTCTATTCTTTAGATGAATAAGAATCTCAAAAGTTATCCTGCTTCAAAACTCACCAAAAGAGAAGCGCGAAATCAACAGATAACTCAAAAAAGATGCTACCAACTATACAGAAAACCGTCAAATACATATTACTTCCTTCATAGCCCTCCGAAGTAAACCACTTCTTCTTGAACCATATATGTACTTACTTTAAAACGACAAAACAATATGTTCTTGAGTCTATGATTTGATCACATTGTAAAAGCTTGACAAGTTCGTTCAACTCATATTTGTAGAATTATGATATAATGCTTACTTTCTTGTTCAGCTTAACCGTTTCTAGTAACAGTGTCCAGGATCATCAAGATGAAGAGTTGGCTTTGGATACTTGCAAAATCAATATCCTAATCATTAGCCCTTTCAATATCGAATCTCAAGTTCCATTAAATGGTGACTGATTTCAAGCTCCAGCCAACTGAATACAACAAATGGTTTCATAAATATAATCCTTAGGGGCCGTTTGGTACATGGGATAAGTATAATAATCCCGGGATAATGTTTGGGATTAACTTTATCCCATGTTTGGTTTGGGGTATTAGCTAATCCCGGGATAACTTTACACTAAAATGGAGGGATTAGTTATCCCATATAGAAGGTGGGATAACTAATCCCATGGGATATCCCACCTTTGTATCAAACAACCCCTGTATTCTAATCAAAAGGGAGAAGACTGAAACCAAACAGACAAAGATGAAACATGCAACTCAATCTAAATCAAACGAATCTGGCCACTTGTGCATATAATTGTGTAATGTTAAGTGTAGAAAGTCATAAAAGCATATTATCAGTAATAAAGAACCTAATCCTAGACCATTTACTATTGGAACCTTCTAGCTATATACTCTTTACTATCAATCAGCTGAGATCCCATTATAATTGAACCTGTCTTGTCAATAGTTTTGACTTGATCCACTCATCGCCCTTTTATCGTTCTACTTATATGGTAAGACCCTCTAAAGTAGATTATCAATTATTGGTCCACTCAATCTTGTAAACAGTAGGCTCTTAGATAAAGCAGAGAAAGACTCTCTACAGTGGCATCCAAATAATCCACCATATGCATACTATACATGACTAAGCACTCCATGGAACATGACATGCTGCATATTATTCTCCTTTGGTATCTGATTACAGCGTCCGGGTTACTAAATAAACTGAAGTTACTAGAAAAAAGGGATAAACCGAAAAGAGATATAATCCTTTATTAATGCCCCTTCATTAAAAATTTGAATAAATAAAACTTTAGCAGTTAAATCAGCACCTGGTCGATGAAGGAAAAGTACAGAATTCACTTCAGTAAAAAGCAATTATCATCTCAATTACACTCTCATACACCTCCTACAACATAGAAATCCTTTCCTGCTACAACGTACTGCATTTTCAAGTCATCACTCAACAATCCCATGTTCGCACAAGGCAAAAGCAACTAAGCCTAGAAATTAAGGCAAAGCTTCATCTGAATCAGCATAAAAGACTGCTAGAACGCAGCATTGATGTACTAACACCTCAGTGTACAATGACCACGGTGGTAGATAAAATCAAGATCCTAGTGCCACCCCACCCCACCCCACCCAGGAAACTCAAACTAAAACCGAAAAAAGAAAAAGTGAGCAATATAAGTTCATTTTATGGCAAAACAAAATCCTCTAGGAACCACTATCTGAGAAACCGAGAACAACCACATTGAATCCCGTTTATTTTGGATAGCCGAGAAATCTCGGAGGGCTAGTTTATTTAAGGCAAAGCTTCATCTGAATCAGCATAAAAGACTGCTAGAACGCAGCATTGATGTACTAACACCTCAGTGTACAATGACCACGGTGGTAGATAAAATCAAGATCCTAGTGCCACCCCACCCCACCCCACCCAGGAAACTCAAACTAAAACCGAAAAAAGAAAAAGTGAGCAATATAAGTTCATTTTATGGCAAAACAAAATCCTCTAGGAACCACTATCTGAGAAGAACAACCACATTGAATCCCCTCTAGAATAAAGGGAATTTTGTCAATGCAAATACACAGGAGAAGCACAATATATCAAGAACACCAATGAACCCAAGAAACAAACACTAAGAGAAATTTATAGCACAAACTGAATTCACAACAAAATTGACACAAAAATTGACACCTCTATCACAAATAGTGCAATAATAAAGAAGAAATAATTGAAGTGAAGGGAAAAATGAAAGGAAACTATTGAGATCTGAGAAACAAACCTTAGTATGTGTGTCGCAATGTGAAATAACGATTAGTGAGGAATGTAAGTGGGGCTATTATCTTATGGGCAGTTAAATCTTGTTGAGAGAAGGGATCTGTTTGTGTCGTTAAAGTCGGGAGAAGACTTCACTCACTCTTGTAAATTCCTGAAATTAATGCTTTGGATGCATTCATCTTTGTATTGTACATTTATATATATGCAGTAAATATACTACTCCCACGAGTCTAAATTATGTTAGCTAGTCCCTTTATATAACAATATAGTATATTACTCAAATAATCACTCAACTATCCATAATTATCTAGTAAAATAACAGAAAAATCCCTTAACAATATCTATAGCACTCAAAATGTCACTCAACCAAAATTTCTCAAACTTTTAAGGACTAAATATCTATTTTACTCTCTAGATTTTTATTTTTCTCTTTTTTTAAAAACTATTATGATTTTTTTTCTTTTTAATCTATATTATGAATTTACCTATAAAATAAATAAATTTATTATAAAGTAAAAAAAGTGCAAAATACTTTTTAGGTATATATATATATATATATATTAGAATAATAAATAATTGAGCATAAGTTGTAAGCATATATAATATATTATAAACTATATCTCTATTTTTAATTGTTTATATTAAATTTATGGAATATAAATTTTAAAAATTTCTATTCTATTTTATTTTCAATTTTGAATTTTTTTAATGAGTTTTTTCATTATTATCAAAATCATTTATGCGAATCAATTATGCTAATTAAAAATTAAGTCCATAATATAAATTAAAAAGGAAAAAGTAATATTCAAAAAGTAAAAGAGAGAAGATCAAGGTTGATAATTTAGAGGCTAGAATAGGTATTTGACCTTTAAAAGTTTGAGAAATTTAGTTGAGTAACCTTCTCAATGCCATAGACATAATTGAGTGACTTTCTTATTAGAGACGAAAGAAAAATGACTTTACTAGATAATTAGGGATAGTTGAGTGATCATTTGAGTAATGAACTCCAAAACAACACTACATTTTACTTTTGAAATTTTATTTTCAGCAGGAAAACTTATAAGGTTTTTATTACTTAGACATGGAAAATTTGAATTATAAAATTACGAATCATAACTTTTGAATCGGATTAATACTACAAAATGAATAAATTGTGACGACCCAATAGGTCGTTTTGAGTACTAGCCTTTAATTCCGAGTTCTGAGACCTCTATTAGCTGCATCTAATATTTTTTGATTTACGTGCGCAGTCCGTATCTTTTTTCGAAAAGTTTTTACATAAAAATTTGAATAAAATATGATTTTGGCTTTAAAAAAAACTTGAGTTGATCACGACCAATATTTTATATAAATGACCCCGGATTGGTATTTTAACGATTTTGGTAGGCTAACAGGAATGACTCCCTATTAATATTATTGTACAAATTAAATTTCACAAAGGGAGAATTTTAAACTCATAAATATTTCACCACAAGGACCTCATCCTTACATAACTTCCACCGCGGCTTGCAGCCCAGTTTAAATATTTCATATCATGTAAAAATGCGACGATCTCATCCTCAACTCCGAATCACAAGTATGTTGCACATTGTGCCAACTGAAATTTTCAATTTCCTTTCTTTTTTCTTATCAATATATTTCATAAATAATTTTCACAACATATAATGAACCCTCATACCGGTAGGGCTTATAATTAATAAAAATTGGAATCAATTATTCTGAAATACATTAAACCCACTGTAATGAATAATAAAAATTACTTTTGGACTTATAGACCTCAATGGTGTACAAAAATAAATGACAGACATGGGTTCACCCCTTCAAATCTCCCAACAAGGATACACATATAAGTTGTCACAAATTTAAGAAGCTCACCCATTAGTGGATCATAATAGGAGGACTCACCTCAATATTCAGAATTGAATCAAATTAAGAAAAATATACTTTTATAATAAAAAATCAGGATAGTACCTGTAACGACACCATCTGGTGTATTGGCATCAGCCAAATCATAGTGATTAAATCAACGGGTCGGGCCTCCACCTCTTAGGCGCCCACTACCCGCCTGTCCTCCACTTCAAGCTGACTGTGCACGTGGAGTATCAACTGGAATAAAGCTTGTAGTTGGAGTGTTTTGATGAAATACACCCCTCATAAGTCTGGGACAATCTCTCATGTTATGCATAGTATCACCACACACATAACAACCCCTCTGAGGTCGCGGCTGCTCGTACTGAGTCTGTGCCAAATAATTGGAATAACCACTGTAAGAATCTCGAGTCGGTGGTGCACTATAAACTAGAGCACCCCGAGTAATCTGATGTGCGAATTGAGCCGACTGACTGCTCGAGCATCTGCTATAATAGGTTCTAGCTGAAGAGTAAAATCCACTGAACCCTCCAGATCTTCGAGACCTTTTGGCCTCCTTAGACACCCTTTCCTCACCTAAAACACCCTCAATCTTCCTTGCAATATCCACTACTTGTTAAAATGGAGCATCAGTTTGTAACTCTCGAGCCATGCATATTTTAATATCATAATCGATCCCCTCAATGAATCTACGGACCCGTTCTCTGATTGTGGGATCTAAGATAGGTGTATGACGAGCTAACTCACTGAACCTGATAACATATTCTAACACTGTCATAGTGCCCTAACGCAATAGTTCAAACTCTGTACGCCACACATCTCTGAGAGTCTGGGGAACAAACTCTTTCAAGAACATTTACGAAAATTGATCCCAAGTTGGTGGTGTGGCATCGGCTGGTTTACCTTCTTCATAGATTTGCCACCACCGATACGCTGCGCCTGACAGTTGAAATGTAGTAAAGGAAACTCCGCTCACTTCCACAATATCCATGATGCGGAGAATACGGTGACAATTTTTTAGAAATCCTTGGGCATCCTCTGTAGTTGTGCCACTGAAAGTAGGTGGACCATACCTCTTAAACCGTTCAAGTCTCTTTTGTTCATCTTCTGATGTCTTTGGCCTGACCTCAGGCCGAAACGGAATAACAGGTTGTACCGGTACTACACCCGGAACTTGACCAACGTGAACCTGTTGCTCTGGAGTTGTGGTAGGAGTCTGAGTTACTCCCCCAATCTGCGAATGCCCAATCCCAAGTTGGTGGTGTGGCATCGGCTGGTCTACCTTCTTCATAGATTTGCCACCACCGATACACTGTGACTGACAGTTGAAATGTAGTAAAGAAAAGTTCGCTCACTTCCATAATACCCATGGTGCGGAGAATACAGTGACAATTTTCTAGAAATCCTTGGGCATCCTCTATAGTTGTGCCACTGAAAGTAGGTGGACTATACCTCTTAAACCTTTCAAGTCTCTTTTGTTCTTCTTCTGATGCCTTTGGCCTGACCTCAGGCCGAAACGGAATAATAGGTTGTACCGGTACTACACCCGGAACCTGACCAACGTGAACTTGTTGCTCTGGAGTTGTGGTAAGAGTATGAGTTACTCCCCAATCTGCGAATGCCCAATCCCAAGTTAGTGGTATGGCATCGGCTGGTCTACCTTCTTCATAGATTTGCCACCACCGATACGCTGCGCCTGACGGTTAGAAAATTCCGCTCACTTCCATAATACCCATGGTGCGGAGAATACGGTGACAATTTTCTAGAAATCCTTGGGCATCCTCTGTAGTTATGCCACTGAAAGTAGGTGGACTATACCTCTTAAACCTTTCAAGTCTCTTTTGTTCTTCTTCTGATGCCTTTTGCCTGACCTCAGGCCGAAATGGAATAACAGGTTGTACCGGTACTACACCTAGAACCTGACCAACATGAACCTGTTGCTCTGGAGTTGTGGTAGGAGTCTGAGTTACTCCCCCAATCTACGAATGCCCAATCCCAAGTTGGTGGTGTGGCATCGGCTGGTCTACCTTATTCATAGATTTGCCACCACCGATACGTTGCGCCTGACAGTTGAAATGTAGTAAAGAAAATTCCGCTCACTTCCACAATACCCATGGTGCGGAGAATACAGTGACAATTTTCTAGAAATCCTTGGGCATCCTCTGTAGTTGTGCCACTGAAAGTAGGTGGACTATACCTCTTAAACCTTTCAAGTCTCTTTTGTTCTTCTTCTGATGCCTTTTGCCTGACCTCAGGCCGAAACGGAATAATAGGTTGTACCGGTACTACACCCGGAACCTGACCAACGTGAACCTGTTGCTCTGGAGTTGTGGTAGGAGTCTGAGTTACTCCCCCAATCTGCGAATGCCCAATCCCAAGTTGGTGGTGTGGCATCGGCTGGTCTACCTTCTTCATAGATTTTCCACCACCGATACGTTGCGCCTGACAGTTGAAATGTAGTAAAGAAAATTCCGCTCACTTCCACAATACCCATGGTGCGGAGAATACAGTGACAATTTTCTAGAAATCCTTGGGCATCCTCTGTAGTTGTGCCACTGAAAGTAGGTGGACTATACCTCTTAAACCTTTCAAGTCTCTTTTGTTCTTCTTCTGATGCCTTTGGCCTGACCTCAGGCCGAAACGGAATAACAGGTTGTACCGGTACTACACCCGGAACCTGACCAACGTGAACCTGTTGCTCTGGAGTTGTGGTAGGAGTCTGAGTTACTCCCCCAATCTACGAATGCCCAATCCCAAGTTGGTGGTGTGGCATCGGCTGGTCTACCTTATTCATAGATTTGCCACCACCGATACGTTGCGCCTGACAGTTGAAATGTAGTAAAGAAAATTCCGCTCACTTCCACAATACCCATGGTGCGGAGAATATAGTGACAATTTTCTAGAAATCCTTGGGCATCCTCTGTAGTTGTGCCACTGAAAGTAGGTGGACTATACCTCTTAAACCTTTCAAGCCTCTTTTGTTCTTCTTCTGATGCCTTTTGCCTGACCTCAGGCCGAAACGGAATAATAGGATGTACCGGTACTACACCCGGAACCTGACCAACGTGAACCTGTTGCTCTGGAGTTGTGGTAGGAGTCTGAGTTACTCCCCCAATCTGCGAATGCCCAATCCCAAGTTGGTGGTATGGCATCAGCAGGTCTACCTTCTTCATATATTTGCCACCACCGATATGCTGCACCTGAGAGTTGAAATATAGTAAAGAAAATTCCGCTCACTTCCACAATACCCATGGTGCGGAGAATAGGGTGAGAATTTTCTAGAAATCCTTGGGCATCCTCTGTAGTTG